CTGTTTTGTGTAATATCAAAGATATTTCCTCTTTCTTGGTTTATTTTTCTGTTATGTTGGAACACATTCTCCATTACAAAAATTGTTTTAGACAATGCTGATCTAAAAATGTTTTTATTTCATTGTCATACTTAATTGGTACTTTGCCTGGGTAGAGATTTATAGGTTGGAGATAATTTTCATTCAGAAATTTGAAGGAATTGTTCATTTACCTTAGAGCTTCCATTGAGAAATCTAAAGCCATTTTCATTCCTGATATTCTGAATGTATCGTTTGTTGTTTGTTCTCACTTTCTGGAAGCTTGCAGAATCTTTTTTCTTGTATTCTGAAATTTAATAAAGATATGCTATGTTATATGTCTATTTTTATCCGTTGCGTTGAGTCCTTTTTATTTGGAAGCTCTTGTCTTTAAGTTGTGGAAATTTTTCTAAATTCGTTTCTTTGATTATAGCTACCCTACTCTCAATCCCCAGATTCCATTGATTTCTTTGTACTGATGTTATACTTTTCTAAGAGATTTTATTAACTTTATTTTCCATTCATTCTACTGTTTTTCATTTCTGCTATCATATTTAAATTTCTAGAACTTGTTTTTTTTGCCCTATGAATACTCCTTGTTATAGCATCCTATTCTTATTTCATGGATATGATGTCTTATTTCTGAGGATATTAATGATAGCTTTTTTGAAGTTTCTGTCTCCAGTCATTTTCCTGCATTTTTTCTGTTTGATGTGGTTTCTTGTTAGAGGTTTTTCTCAGATATCTTGTCATTATTAAGTGGGAAACTAAAAAGAAAGCTGGTTGGAACCCTGAGTCCATTGATGCAGTCTCAGAATAGGCTGTTCAACCACAGAATCTCTCATGTTAGTATTTCTAGGTCTTTTCTGTTAGGATGGTAAGACTGCCCAGAGAAAGATTGTCTAATCTCTCTCTAGAGGAGTATAGGCCTAGTCATTGGTATTTCTGGAAACTTTGTGGAGGAAGAAAGTAACATGTATCCAGCATTTAGTATTTAAGAATTCAACAGTACTCTGGTGTCCCCATCTAAAAGCCTCTGTTTTATGCTCTCCAGAAGGTAGGAGGAGCAGTCTCTCTGACATGGGATGGGGATGCCAGTCCTAGTGTCTTAAATAATTTTATAATCAATCTTGTTTTTAGAGTGCCTTTTACTTCCAAATGTACTTACCATTGGCTTTTGTGTGTTCTGGGTTTTAAATCAGCCATCCTTAATACCAGCTTAGAATTTAACTTATTGTTATCTGCTAAGTCATAAACTACTTATGTGTCTGCTTTCAAGCTTCCAAAATTTGTTGCCATTGTTTCTGCTCCCGTTTTCTTTGTTCTTAGAGTATTATGGCCAATGAAAAAGGTGTTTTCTGTGGAATTTCAAGAGGGATTATAAAAATTGTGTTTTCAACCCTCCATTTTTAACTTTAAACATAATTTTATATATTTTTTATAAAATTCTAACTTGATCAGTATCTCTGTCCTCCTTGACAAAACAGGAATACCTTAATTTCCCTCTGAATTCTTTTTGTATTTTCTACAGTTTTGTTATCTGAAATTTTAAATCCAGCTTGCTGAGTCATAAGATTTTTTTTTCTTTGTCCTTGATGCTGTGTCATTTCCCAGCTTTTAATGAAATAATTGACATATATCGCTGTATAAGCTTAGAGTGTGTTACATGGTGGTTTGATTTCCATATATTGTGAAATGATTATCAAAATAGGTTTAGTTAACATTCATCATCTCATAGATACAGTAAAAAGAAAAGAAAAACAATGTCTGTTTGTGATGAGTACTCTTAGGATCTACTCTCAACAACTTTCCTACATATCATACAGATGATTAACTGTAATCATCATGCTGCATATTACATCCTTAATACTCATTTATTTATAACTGGAAATTTATATTTTTGGACAATCTTCAAACATTATCTTTAAAAAAACCATTTCTTTCACCTCTTTCTATTTTCTCCTTCTGAAACTGATTACTTCAGTGTTGGAGTCTATCTTTCCTATGTAGCCTTTTAAAATCTTTTTTGCTTAATTTTTTAAATCTTTCTTTTTACTCTGTTCTAGGTAATTTCCAATGCATAAATTCTTTCATTTGTTTTTAGTTTGTTTATCTCATCTTTTGAATTTTTAATTTCAGAGACTTCCCCATTTCCAAGATTTCCAGTTGATTCTTTTTATAAATGGCTGTTATTTTTTATTATCTTCTATTCCTTAAGACTATAATTGTCCCACTTTAAAAGTATTTTTAGTATGTTCATGTATGTTTAAAAAGATTTTTAAGGGTGGCTCCATAGTTTAGTGGTTAGTACATCTGCTTTACGTGCAGAAAGTCCTAGGTTCATGCCCCAGGTGGAGCCACGGACCATACCCCGGGTGCGCCAGTCCCTGGGTATGCCAGGCCCCCCCGGGTGTACCAGCCCCCCCGGGTGTACCAGCCACCTCGCCCCCCAGTGCGCTAGGGGTGCCAGGCCCCAGGTGCACGCCCTGAGCGTGTGGGAGGAGATGCCCAGCCTTCAGAGATCCAGGTCTAAAAGGGGGACGGCAACATCCCTAGGTTAGGGGTGGAAGGTGGGGGGAATTAAAGAGAGGGAAGAAAAAAGATTTTTAAAAAACATTTAAGATTCTTTGTTTAAATTTTTCTGCAGGCATAAATTCTCCTATTTGTTGTGTCTACTGATGTGGGAATTTTCCTCGAATACATTATTATTTTGGCTTTAGTGGTCATGTTGGATAGTTTTTCCCATGTGTGTTTTTCTTTTTTGTATGGTTTTGGAGTTGCTTTCAGCCTGATCCTCTGGCTGGCATAGTCTAGGTCAGGTGTTTCATTAGAGATTTGGATTTTTCTTTATGTAAATAGCCTACTTCTGGACTACAAGTTATATAGGCCTCTATGTAAGTTCCCTCCATAGGCCATAAGTAGGTGTTTGGTGGAATATTTTTTTGGCCCAGTTCTAGCAAGGAGTCTGTTTTTGGTCTTTTAACCCATAATTGGGATGCTGGATCCTTGGAGCTTTGGAACTTTAGCCTATGCTGTTTTTATCTAGTTGCCTTTTCCTTGGGGCTTCAGTACTCACTTACTACTCTAGGTTTCTCTTCTGTTCCTGGCCCACAAAGATCTTATTCTTTGTTATTGAGTGTAACTTTATATTTAAAGTTTTATTTCCTGTATATCCTTCTAGAGATCCTTTATGTATACATAAGGAAAGAAGAATATGCTTACTTTCTTTTCTTTTATACATTAAAGTTAGCACATTATATTTTGCTTTCCTTAGCAATAAGTTAGGAAGTATTTCCATTTGATAAATCAGAGAGCTGGTGTAGAGAGTGTTGGTTTCTTTGTTAAAGAGACATGTTGATTTGACTCTACATGGTTTATTTTCATCACAATGGGCAAGGGACCTTTCCTACCTTTATACATTGTTTTCATATATAAACACACACACACACACACACACACACATATATGTATATGGTTTATATATATATATACATAAACTCTCAATCATTTTCTTCAATACAAAGATTCACCTGGTCAGTAATTATAATGACCTTCTTAACTCCTTTGAAATATTATTCATGTAATCCTCACAACTATAACTCATCCTTTAAAATTTTAACTATTTGTTAAATGAATAATATGACCACTTGTTTAGGGTCACAGAGTGTGTAAGTGAAAAATATTTGGCGCCACAGTTTTTAAACTATTATCAGTACACCAATTAATAATATGTAACAAGTTCTTGAGTTCTGTCATCTAGTATTTTGAGTAAGAGAAACTAAAAGCAGCCCAAACAATTATACTAATATTCATTGTTCTAACCCTTAACCAGAAAGTACTATTTTAAGGCTGGCTGCTACTTAATACAGGTTACAAATAACTATTTACTACTTTTTTATAGATAAAATCCTTGACCTTTAAGAAAGCTTTAGGGGAAGAAAGTTTAATCTCTTTTTTCAAAAAAAAATTTTTTCTTACATCTAAGAAAGAAAAAGTTAGTATGGAATGTATATGTTTGAGCCTAAAGACATAGGAAACCAGACAATGTATATACTGAATAAATTTCCAAGAAATACAAGGTAAAAAATGAAATTTTTGGATAAGCTTTAAGTTTGTACAAAGAAATAAGATTTGCTATCTTCAAAAAGTGAAGGAACCTACTATATATGATTGCCTTTTCATAAGAAATAGCTCGAGCTTTGCTAATGCTTCATATTTCATGAAAGCATCTAAAATGCCAATCCATGGAACAGGTGCTTCTTTATTCTTTTATCTATTTATGCGGTAGTTTTCATGGATTTCTGGCTGATTTTGCAGGTAAAACCAAGAGATTATCCAGGATGTCATCCCTGCCCTGCCAGAAGCAGGTCTGGAGGATTGTTGTCTTCTCTTGGGTTTCTTCCTCCATCTCAGAGCCCCAGATTCTTTGGCCTTGAACTCTTTTTTTCCTCTGCACATGGTATTGTTCAGTTTTAGCCTGAGCTGCTTTGTCCTGCTTCAGCTTCTGGTCACTTGTGGGCCTTGGACACCTTCTGGGCAGCTCGTTTCTTGGCTTGCAGCAGCTGTTGGATGCCCTATGGCTGACTGGCCACAGAGGTGGTGGTTCTGAGGCTGAGGTGAGCAGCCTAAATGGGCTGGATTACCCCTTGGGTCAGATGACCCAGCTGCCTAAGATCTGTTCCTGGGCTGGTGGCCTGCCAGCTGTCCTCTCTGATCTCCTTTAATTTTCATAGTAGCCCTAGGAAGTAACTATTATATAGACAAGGAAACAAGCTTAGAATGTATAAGTTTCTCATGGTCACTTGCTTCTGTTTATCTCACTCCAAACCTCATGTTTTTATTCAGTATTACCTACACTCTATCCTGATTGATAACGGGAACCTGAAAAACCATTCTGTCCAACTCTTGCACTCGTGAAAATAGGCCATCGATTCTTTTTGCAGCTTCCTCTTATTACCCTTTATAACTGCTTTTGGTCTTAGCTCCCAGGGCTTTTCCTGAGTAGTAGAAGTTACAAGTGCTCCACTGAACAACCACTTCCAAGTCCTGTCATCAAATCTTAGGCTCCTGTTCTAAATGGTAAGTTTTCTTATGGACATATTAAAACTTTTATAAATTTTATCTCTTAGCCTCATCTGTAGAAGGAAAAAATATACTTTTGTGAACAGAGGGTTAATTAGTCTTTACTGTTTTGCTACTGTTTTATCATTCTGAGAAAATCAGAAGTATATTTACCTGGTAAGACTGTTGAGAATTATTTAGCCAAACAAATAACATGCTTTATATCAGCATAGTATTTATTGTTATTTGTTATAATTTTATCCTTAGAGCACATATTTAAGTGCTGTATGGTCAAACACAATGGTATGTTTTAATAGAATATGAATTAAAGATATGAAAATGACCTTAGTGAATATCGTTTCTTAACTAGATTATCAGAATCTGGTTATTAATATAATCATAACTACTTTTTACTGCATGTCTACCATGTCTGACATTCTGCTTTACAAATGTTAATCATGTAATCCTCACAACAACCCTGTAAGATAGATGGTGGTATTGACATTCTAGTTATATGTGCTGCTGAAGCGAGCACGGTATTGACATTCTAAAGATGAAAAAACTGGGTTAGAGAAGTTAAGAAATTTATATTAGGTCAGACAGCTTGTAATTTGGCAGAGCTAACTTTCAGACTTTTGCTTTTCTCATTATGCCCTCTGATTACTTGTGATATTTGATTTTTGGCTATGTAGAAAGTCAAAGACTTTTAAGATGCTGAAGCGAGAAAAATCAAAAGGGTATGGTTATGCCTGTTTGTGCATTGTACAGAATTATAGACTATATTTAAGTGTACTGAATTATAATTTTTTTTTTTTTTTTTTAGGTAACAGATATATGACATATCTTTTATTTAAAAGAAATGAGTGTGACTAGTATTGCATTAAGAGTTGAAACTTGGCTTTTAGCTACATGGCATGTTAAAGTACCTCTGATGTGGCTGGAAGCTTGTATTAACTGGATCCAAGAAGAAAATAATAATGTTAATTTGAGTCAGGCACAAATAAACAAACAAGTGTTTGAGCAATGGCTCCTAACTGATCTGAGAGATTTGGAGCATCCTCTTTTACCTGATGGCATTTTAGAAGTTCCAAAAGGAGAACTGAATGGGTTTTTTGCTCTGCAGATTAATTCATTGGTTGATGTAAGTCAACCTGCATATTCCCAGATACAAAAATTGAGAGGAAAGAATAATATGAATGACCTAATTACAGCTGAAACACAAGTAACCCCAAAACCTTGGGAAGCAAAACCTTCACGAATGTTGATGCTGCAGTTAACTGATGGAATTGTCCAAGTGCAAGGAATGGAATATCAGCCTATTCCAGTTCTTCATAGTAATCTTCCTCCAGGTACAAAAATTTTGATTTATGGAAACATTTCTTTCCGTCTTGGTGTTCTCTTATTGAAACCAGAAAATGTGAAGGTGTTGGGAGGAGAAGTAGATGCTCTTTTAGAGGAATATGCACAAGAAAAAGTACTTGGAAGATTAATTGGGGAAACTGTTCCTATAGTTTCAGTCATACCAAATAATTCTAACCAAAGCATCCCTAGAATTACAGATGATCTCGATCTTGTGTTAGGGCCTTCTGATGAAGAACTCTTGGCAAGTCTTGATGAAAATGTTGAGCTTGCAGCAAAGAATGACACCTCTTTGGAAAGAGGATGTTTCAGCACAGGTAGTTCCTCAAATGCTTTTCCCCCAGGACAGTCAGATTTTGAACAAGGACTTGCTATTTCTCTAAGACCAAAGGAGAAACCACCAAATCAATCTGTGCATTTCACTGATGGGGAATTAGATGACTTTTCATTGGCTGAGGCCTTGCTTTTGGAAGAAGCTGTCCAGAAAGAACAAATGGAGCCTAAAGAATTGCAGTCATTGACTTTGAACAGAATCACAGATGAAACAATAGAGAGATCTTCAGATAAACATAATACTTCAAATGATTTTTCTTTGATTTGCAAGTATGGAAACAGTAATTGGAATGAAAAAAATTTATCTGAACGAATGACTAATGAAGACAAATCTTTTAGTTGTCTATCTGCTAGAGACAACAATAGTGTTTTTTCAGTTCATAATATACTACTCCCCCATGATTTTACAAATAAAGATAAGAACTCTGGGACAGATAATAAAGTAAAACCAACCATCAGCAGTTCAGATAGACATTCCTTAAATAATAAAATATTAAATGAAGAACTGGGCAGTTATGTACCAAAAAGTTCACAAATTTCTAATGAAAGCGATCACCATTTACAGAATTATTCTTTAAGATCATCAGAGAATAGCACTAATCTTTCTGTTGCCCTGGATTTGTATTCTCCACCCTTTATCTATTTGTCTGTTCTAATGGCCAGCAAACTAGAGGAAGTTACAACAGTGAAAGTCAAAGCATTTATTGTAACCTTAACTGGAAATCTCTCAAGTTCTGGTGGCATTTGGAGTATAACAGCAAAGATTTCTGATGGTACCGCATATTTAGATGTAGACTTTGTAGATGAAATACTTACTAGTCTGATAGGGTTTTCAGTACCAGAAATGAAAAAGTTAAAAAAGGATCCTCTTCAATATCAAAAGTTCCAGGAAGGTTTGCAGAAGTGTCAGAGAGATCTAATAGATTTGTGCTGTCTGATGACTATTTCCCTTAATCCCTCCTTGTCTAAAGCAATGGTACTGGCATTACAAGATGTTAATGTGGAACACCTTGAGAACCTAAAGAAGCGATTGAATAAATAATTTTCTAAAAGAGTAGAAAACAATGAAATACTTAGAATTAAATTTGTCCTTTTATTTTTGAAACTTTCCTTTCGTAAAAAAAAAGTTTCATGACATTTCAATATAATTTAAAAATGTTTAATCATGTTTGTGTGTTTAGGTTTTTTAAATAAATTTTTATAGTAACTATTAGATGAAGGAATTTGGTGACTCACTGTTACTGAGAAATTTGTTTTCCACTTGTAATTTCACATAATATGATTGCTATAAAGTGTTGTACTGGTGTTTACTGGTGTGCCATATTGTTGAAAGTTAATTATAAATAGGTAGTTGTACTTTAATATGTTGAATACTCAAAAATTTGTTTATATTATACTTGGGAAAATGTAAGTCAGAATGTCAGGCTTTCAGATTCAAATGTTTTGCTGATTGTAAATGTTTGATATATTTAAGTCAAATAGTATGTTAACAAGATATTTCAGAGAGTATATTGAATGGTTAAAAACTTATTTTCAAGGATAATTTATTTTAAATGGCATATTGGAAGCATTATGAAGGTGCAGTAAGTATTTCATGTTTTTGGATTAAAATAAGGTATTTATCCATGACTTTAGGTGTTATCCCCTTTCTGAATTAGCTTTACATATAAGCCTCTCTGGCTTTTTGGAAGTGCTGGCATTTTTTTTTAAAGGGAGACTGTTTATCACTTTTCCACTTTGTTATCAAAGTCACATATGAAAGGTAAAGTTATTTTGATTAATATTTTGTCTTTGAAAGTTTTAAGTGTTTTGAAATTTAAAACATTAAACAAACAAATAACAAAGTGAAGATGTGTTTATTTTAGTTAAAATAATGTTATAGGAAAATATCTGGAAGTAAGATAAATACATATATAAAAATATGGTATAGACATAGTAGGAAAATATTTTAAAAATCTTTTGTTGCTCTTCGAAGGATGATAATCAGAGTTCAAGGCACAACACAGATTTTGCTGATGTTTGGCACTAATAGTAACCTCTTCTGTGTACTTGCTTGCATAGCTCTTTTACTACAAGAGATCTAAATGAGATGGCATTGTCTTTCTTCTAGATGTTCTCCGCTTGTATTCTTATCTCCGTGAGCAATGCTTGAAAACTGGGATTAGACTTTATTTTCTCCTCATATTCAGTCACTAAAGACTGGGTTTAGTGCTTTACCATATCAATTCATCCTTTTGTATTGGTGCTTTGATTCTGGCTCTGGTCTTCTCTGGCCTGGATTATTCCAGTGGGTTTACTAATTAGTCTTTGCCTTATTTTGCCCTCAAACCTTTTCCCGTAATTCTGCCTGAACGATCTTTTAAGAATAAATTTTTTCTTCTTTTCTCTTCATTAACTTTTATTATCAACTTCCTCCTGCCCCTTTACTTGTGAAGGTGAAGTCCAAACTCTTAATCTCGTATGTAAGGTCTCTTGTGATCTGACTATTGCCTTTTCAGCCTCATCTTGCCCTGTTACTCTCCTTCTACCTCATCTGTCTCTAAATTTTAGTCAGAGCAAATTATTTGTAGT